CAACTTTACTAGTCTCTATATGATCAGCTCATGTATCCATTTTGACATATTCAGACCTCATAATCACTGTGACACTGTGTGTAACATTAATATGCAGTTAATCAACAATTATCAATGAAAAATTATTTAGTACTCCTCACGCTCGACTGCCGCTCCAGCACGGAATCAACTTACATGGATCTATAAGACTTCCGTTCACATCTATGATGTATCCCTTTCTAGCTTTCCTGTAATACCACATACGTGTTCAGAACCTATAAATATAAGCACAAACGCAGTTTGAAAATTTAGTACACATTCACACAATGCCACAAGATATCAGCAATCTCACACAATGCCACAAGATATCAGCAATCTCACACAATGCCACAAGATATCAGCAATCTCACACAATGCCACAAGATATCCGCAATCTAGATTGCTTCAAGGGTCGATGGGTTCTGGATAAGAACAATTCTGAAGGAGTTGAACCACTTTTGAAAGACGGGGGTGTGAACTATCTGAAGCGCAAGACTTTGTGTGCGCTCACCATTGACTTAGAGCTCCAAGTCGCATGCGAAGGAGAGGACAAAGTAACTGTCACAGAAGTGCAGTACACTTCCTTTGTGAATATGATCAATAAGATGGAGCTCGGCATGAACAATGAGTTTCTCGGATGGACTGATTATCATGATGATGCCTTCTCAGTATACTGCAAGAAGCAAGCAAAGTGGGATGCTGCAACTGGCAGACTTTGCATGCACGCAATATCTGTGAAGAAACACGAAGGTGATTATGACTGGACAGAAGAGCGTTGGGTCGAGAACGGCAAATTGCACTGGCTAACAACGCAAAACTACAAGGGCAAAATTACCACAAACCATCGAATTTTCGTTCAAAAGGCATGATTTTGTGCGTAGATATTAAAATATATAGTAAATGTATGAAAGGTTGCTTCGCAAGGTACATTAATAGTTTTCATCCGCGTATACAATAGATACAATTTTAGAAAAATATTGCGCGCAGTATACATGGACCAAATACGAATACTGTTTGCTATGGAAGTCATTTTGCATCCGTCGGATACCAGCGTAAATGTGTGTGGTGAGATATATAACATTTCATTCGTGCTTCCTCTGAGGTTATGCCATGCTCAAGGTGCATAGCGATTTTAAATCCAATAGTCGAACGCAGCGCAAAGACCAGGTAAAATCCGCGGGGTTGGTTTCGATTCTGTCATTGACTAAGGTGACTGGATGGTAAGCCAAACAATCTAAAAAGCGACATGCACAGTTCACAGTCCACACAGTCCACACTCCACAGGTAATCTTTAAAATGTTGCAGACTCTCTCAGTAACTTAGTACCTTCAGTGATCGTTGAAACACATTCCAATGAACGGAATGTTATTCGCTGCTCAAATATTTATACTGGAACAGACATGTTTTCGTTACTACTCAAGCTAGACATACACTCGGGCAGCGATATACTGAGGAACGATATTTCGAAAACGACAACCTTACGACCAACTATCTATGTATTTGCAGCGCCTCTAAGAGTGGGATTTACAAGCAGATCAAACCTTGTATATGGTCCCTGGTCACGATTCCACAAATAAATAATATTTTAAATACCTCCATCAAGTACATTAT